TTCCACAACAGTTGTCACGATTTCAGGTTTATACAAACCTGTGTAAACAAGATAATTGACCGCCTGAAATGTAGATGAATTCTGCATCGGCCCTCATATCTATTCCTCATATGACGTCACAGAGACGCCCCGCTCTGATTGGTTGAAATTTCGTTCGCGGGTGAGAATTGTGCACTGTTGTCAAAAAGGTCGATTTAAGTTAATTTAAGATCGAAGTGAGTAGTTTTAATGACGGGGTTTCATTTATAGCGATGCCAGTTAGTGATTTATGTATTTGTTCCCCCTTAGAGTATATGTGATCTTTAAGGTTAGGATGTAGCGACCTCAACGCTTACAAACACAACAGACATATATCAGAGAGAGCAGATTGTTTGTGTGGCCACCCTAATGAAGATGCACGCCATTATTTCTTTGTATGTCCCAGATTTGATGCTGTAAGAGTAAATCAATTTTATTATACCAATGGCTTTTCATTAGAAACAATCTTATACGGAACGTCTTCCATGGACCCACAAATTCAATCACATATCTTAAAATCAGTCCATCTATTTATAATTGAAACTAGGCGCTTTAACTGAGCAAGCCATATACTTAAACCTATAATTCTCAAAGCTATACTACTATGGATCCCGACTGCAGATGCCATGAATGTATACAACCATCATGATGTTAAGTTTCCGACTACATGTCATACCATCTACTTTCATTTTAGATATCATCTTTTCTTGTCATGATACTGTTTCATATACCTATGTATATTGGAGCGGTCTTCATGTAAGTTCTTTTGAGCTTCTTGACCAATCCAGTTCATGAAAATTCTGTCTTTGCTTTTTCATGAAATAAATATTTTTAAACCAGATCGCGATCGCGATTTACAATAATTGTGGCGCTAAGATCGTTCTGTGCAAGTGGGCATTGGTGTTCCCCGTCGTGATATTGATGGAATAAAGAATACTCACTCAATCAATCTTTTTTGTTAACAATTGCTACCTGTTGATTTCCATGTTGAAACAATAAGTTAACCATAAAACACTTTTCAAAATTTCCTCAATTCTTTTAGGGACAGCGAGATAGCCTAGTGGTTAAAGTGTTCGCTTGTCATGATGAAGCTTTACGTGTTGTCCTTCTGTGTGGAATCGTTTAGGTCACATGCAACGTAAAACACAACTTTGCAGATTCTGATACCTTTCGGTATGGACTTACCGAAACAAATCGTCAAAAATGCAAATTCAACTTATAAAGATGAAAAATAACGCGATGAAAAAAAACCGCGCGAAATCGGAGTTCAAACATTTCACTAATTTTCCCCAGACTTTTCTGGGGAATACGGGTTTCAACAGCTGGGCTGCGCTCATAGCACGTGCGCAGTGAAATAGTGAGTGAGTGAGCGAGTTTGATTTTACGCCGCTTTTAGCAATATTCCAGCAATATCACGGCGGGGGGACACCAGAAATGGGCTTCACACATTATGCCCATGTGGGGAATCGAACCCGGGTCTTCGGCGTGACGAGCGAACGCTTTAACCACTAGGCTACCCCACCGCCCCTGCGCAGTGAAATAGGTTCGCGCAACTTGGAAGCGGGCTGTCTGGTGAATACTCGGTGAAGGCTTTGGTGCGAGCTATTTTCATAATGTTTTGTTGATATCTCACAGGCGCGAGCTTTTTGTATGTTATGACAGTAAATAAACTGTTTATATAATTTCATTTGTCTATTTCACCACACGTTCTTCTAACCGAGTTACTTTCTCAGTTCGATAAAAGCAATGTCATTATTTAGAGTTGACACAATTTCTAACTGTGATTTAGATATGTCGCTGTCACAGACAAAACTCAATGTCTTGTTTTATTGACACCTGTGTGTCTGCCTGCCTGTCTGCTAATGACAATATTCAATACACAACTGCGATCACTGACCACATGCAATTTGAACTTAACACCAATCAGGCTATACACCATAAACAAAACGCATTGATTTATGGCCCGAGTTCGGTCTCTGTCACATTATGTAATTACACAGACAGGCAGGTGTGATACTTGAACACATGACATGTTATGATATCTGTTGATTGCAAAATGTTATACACAAAAATGAGCATGTATTTACAAAACCCAACTTTATATATATACACACACAATGAGCCGTGAAGGAGGCATCTGCTAATGAACCAGCCGTTACACTTGAGTGCACACCCACCCGCTCTGACTGGGTTCGGTATCCCGGCTGCTTCGTTTCGAGGGAGGTGAACCCAAGTACAAAATATTGCACTTTTGATTTGCGATTATAGGCTTATAATTTTGTTTATTTGTTTTTTCATAATCAGCAATGCATATTATATGTCATGAAGAAGTGATAATTGTGTTTTAATTATGTTTGATTTTTTGGTTGCATTTGACCTTTAAGTTGGTTACAAATCAATGCAGTGTAAATACAATGGTAGTACACAGTAGAGTGGGAGGCATCTATTGTGGAGAGGATTATTCCTTTTCAGTGATTTGCCCACCTAGAACTATAAGTGGTGAGTAAATGAGAAGACCCCAATTGTACATCTAAGCAACTCGGCATTCAAAAGGTCCTTCGCAAAACATAACAAAGCTGATAAAAGTATGTTTTTAACGGCGGTCACATCTTACGGTGTATTCCCGTGAAGTAGACTTTTGTTATTACAGTATACTCTCATTGATGTTGTGCCGGTGTTGTTATAAGGGATTAAGTCACCGGGTGCTGTAAGATTCTGAACTATGTTGTGAAATATGATTTTGAATTTACTGAGTTAGCTTGCTGAGATTATAATGATACTGATTAATGTGTTCGCTCAATCAGTGGGAGTAAAACTGATTAATTTGTTCCCCAAATCAGTGCCATACAGTACACTTACATGTCAATGTTTGATACATTTCATATGATATGTTTCATCTTGTGATTATTTGTGGTGACATCTAATAAATTATGCCATGAAATATCAAATATCAGTTTAGACGTATTTCTTTTCTTTAACACTTCAACTTTTCGTATCCACCTTGAGCCTGTAAAAACATAGAGTGGCCTTTGTTCGAGATCACTTGGCGTTGAAGGTAATCCCTCCAAGCTCACTCCTGTATGTTTACAATTCTACTTCATTAGAACTAACTCATCTTCCGATCACGCACGTTGTTCACCGTAGTGGGGAATGAACGTAGTAGACCGTGGTGTACCCGTATGTGACCTTAGTTAAACGTATGTAAGCATAGTTCAAGCATAGATCACCGTAGTTATGACCGTACTTTGAACTTCAGCAAAACCATGATTTGGCTTTGGTTAGACAAAAATATTTCAACACATTCAAAATATCTATCCGGTTAGCTTGAATGCTAAGACCCTACTGTTACCGTAGTTTGAACGTGGTTCACCCTAGCTCTCCCTAGTAGACCGTAAATGGCCCTACTGCATCGTTGTGTTGACCGCGGTAACATAGCACTACGATCAAACTACGCTTACTACTACTTCCAACCAGTTTGCGAAATAGCCACTGGCCCGCTAGCCCGTGGCTAGTATAAATCCATTCGGGCCAGTAAATATCCGCAGTCACTGGCTAGTCAAATTTCATGGGGTCATTTTATAAATATATCACTCTGTCCGACTTGTTAAGTTATAACGCACTTTTAAATCATGCAAGATTATGGCCTGATAAAAATGTCCATCATATTAGCATCTTCATGATGAAACCCGTGTCTGCATTAAAATTTTGGACTAGTGAATTATTTTGTGGGCAAGTAACTTTCAGGCATAGCTAGCCCGAATGGCAAGCAAAATTTGGAAACTATTTCGCACACTGCTTCCAGCCTACTTCACCGTAGTTCAATCTAGCTGACCGTAGTACACCGTGGTAACATGGCACTACGATCAAACTACGGTTTCAAATGAGTTACAGTCAACAACGTGCGTGTCCGTAAGATGTGACCGTCGCCTTACACACTTCTTGTGAGTCACTTCTTGGAAGCAGAACACACACTGGCTATCAAAGTGCTATATCTGTGCACACCAAAATTGTAAAGGATTTGAGACTCTATAAATCTCGTTCGTGTCACTTCTTTGCGCACCCAACCCGACAGCCCTTGTTCTTCTCGTGGTGTGTTGTACGTCGTCAATGCCTCCTTTCAACGGAAGTCCGCCTCTGTGATGACGATGATGATTTGTAAATTTTATGTGCACTCTCCGACATGATGCGGGGCGGTGGGGTAGCCTAGTGGTTAAAGCGTTGGCTCGTCACGCCGAAGACCCGGGTTCGAATCCCCACATCGGTACAATGTGTGAAGCCCATTTCTGGTGTCCCCCCGCCGTGATGTTGCTGGGATATTGCTAAAAGCGGCGTAAAACCAAACTCAGTCAGTCAGTCCGACATGATGCCTATTTCATACACGGGAGTAATCATCCTTTACATACTTTACTTTCACCAAGTTTATTTCTGACCCGTGAAGATCCGGGTTAGAATTGGTCTTCAGCAACCCAAGCTTGCCGTAAGAGGTTACAAATGGGATCAGGTGGTCAGTCTCGCTGGATTTTCTGGACCAGGCTCGATTATTCCGCCACAGCTGGAATACTGGTGAGTGCTGCTTTAAAAGTCAACATCGTTTACCATTGTATTACTTCTAATTATCACAAAGTAAAGGTGAGCTACTGAACATTGCAGCTGTACTCTCTTTATGTCTATATTTTCAGTAGTTGTGTCACATATCTTATCAGAAGCAAGTTAATCAACAATGGGCGAGTTATTCAACACAATGCCTACAAACGGTTACAGCGATAACATGTAGCCTTTATCACGAGAGTTGTACACCTTTGAATGTTTACTTTTCTTTGAACTGTCCCCATACTCGTCAACGGGTTATCGGTGCAGAATAATCAATCCCGCAAGCAAATACATAGGTAACCTTCCATTGGCCGACGAACCGGGAATATTTATTCGATCCCATGGAAACAACCCCGGGTCAACCGTCGGTAATATCATTTTCACTTCCAACGTATCCCGTCGCTTGCGTTGACATTAACCATAGATTCGGGATTTGCCGTCACCGACACTGGCGTATTGTGTCCTTCTTAAAAGCGGGTCCTTCTTAAAAGCTCCTGCCGTCAAGGTAAGGTATGGTCATTTGTTTAAATATTAAAAAGACATGCATCAATTGTGTGGCATGTATTACCAGATGTTAACACACGGTTATTGAACATTCTCATATGGTGCTTTTTCTGTATCGCTTGACATATTAATGTAAAATGAATGCAGTGTGACGTAATGGAGGCATACCGCGGATCATTCTACCATCAAACTGTTACACACACGCGTGACTTATCAAGGCAGGGAAAACCATATGGGGGTTCGAACCCAGCCTTCATAGCGACAAAGGACCGCATTCACAAGGCTGCCCAGCAACGTCGTTGCTGACATCTGTAATATTTTTGTGCATCAGACTATAAAATATGTGATTTCATTGGTGTTTTTGCATCGCTATTAATCGGTCGACGTTTTTGATTAAAGTTCAGGTGTAAAGCGGGATTTGTCTCAGAATTACCTGTGCATATTATGATTGGATTCGATGACAGTTGGGCAGTTTTATGTACTTATTTACTTATTTACGCTGATGACATCATACTAGTTTTACATATACAAACGGGTGATTTGATAACATATGTTTAAATATGAATGCATAACTTGTTCATTTCACATGAAGAATTGCCGACATGAATTTTGGTTTTACCTTATAATGTATGACATCTTTAGAAAATAGAAAATTCAGAAATCGATATATTCATTTAGTCTCCGAATGATCGACAAAATCATTATGTGATAACTGTTTGGTCGAGTGTAGTGTACCGACGGTAATAACATTTTCATCGATTTCCAATAAACATTTGTTTGATCGTTCCTCTTAGGTTCCACTTAATATGAGTGCACATACTCCGCTGCACGGAGCCTGTCTCGGGCACGACAAAGCAATTTTACCCGACGTGTAATTCGGAGTTTCCATGTCATGTATATCAATAACAGCACTTGCTATAAGAAGTTGTTGGATTTCAAGAGGCATAGGTCACACGGAGTCATAAATGAAACAGACTACGACTGGCTGGTTGATATGGTGTTACTACTTCGGTGAAAAACACGGGCCCGGGTATAATGTTTACATAGAAACATTTCCGGGCGAATTTGGTATTCAAACTCTCAATCATTGGTTGATAGGCAACCAAAGGGACGCTAGCCCTTGCATCGAATTGTGGCGCGGTTAACTACTGGGCCATCAGAAGTTTCAGGGTATTACGTGTAATTGTTTCACCAACAACAATTCATGTATTTGCTCAATCTATCAAACCATGATTGACTTATGTCAACATAAAGAATCGAGTCTGGAGCAGTTCACTAGCCCAAGTACGCCGTGATATGACTGTAATACTATTCAAAGTGGCGTCACACAAATCACTCTCACAATAATGTTTTAGAAAGTAGTTACTGTTTTCTCACAAGTTACATATTTCATGACAATTCAACCTGATTTCATTCTCAACCATGTAATATGTTGATGAGACAAGATAGAAAGAGTAAGAGGTCACGTGGGGATTGTTACATCATATACGAATTAGAAACAGTTCGAAGGCGTTTACTATACTCCCCATCAAAAGTTTAGACTCACTAGTAGTGTAAATGTAGCCACTTACTTCAGTCAACTGTTCTGAACTAGATTTTGTTAAATAATCCATACAGTTTAAAGGTACTGTTTATACATGATGTATTGTAAAACAAATTCGTGACGTTGAAAAGTTTATTGTCATGTGTTCAATAAATGATGAAACTCGGTGAAAAATGGCGATTTTTTTTTATCAAAACTTTACACCAAAACGCAGCTGTTCACATGCACGATATTTGCACATACTTTTCTGCAATTTGATACATGAATCTCATGCAATTAATCTGCATAAGGTTTGCAGATGTTTCCCCCAAGTTAATGGAGATATTCATCTTCGTTGTAACCATATGCACATACATAACTTATAGTGATTGATTTAAGCGACTCTAAACTTTTGATGGGTAGTATATAGTTACACCTGTGAAGATTCCGGGTCATGCACAAGTGTGAGTGACCGATGTTTGTAGTAGGAGTCGACTGACGCCATGGACAGGTCAACACTCGATTACTTACAGAGCGGGGACGTTAAACAGCAAACAACCTTTAAATGCCATGCGAAATACTTAATCATACTGAAGAAACTGACATATAGATTGTTTATATCCAATTTGACTATATGATAATAACACAGCATTATTTTTTTCAAAGGTTTAAAGTACACCATGGTTGACGTTAATGTCAAAGACTTCCTAGATGCTGTCAGAAAGGGCATCGATGGTCGAAAACTGAAGCAGTATCTTCTGGTGTCAAAAGCAAGCGACTTCCGGTGTTGGGCAGACGACAATGGACTGGACGCCCTCCACCACACGATCCTGCTCAACAACCCCGAGGCTCTACAGCTAATGCTCTCAGAGGGTTACTTTACACACCCACATGAACCAAAAATAAATCCATACGCACACTTCGCTGCTAGACTGGGTTTCCGAACAGTCCTTGGTATCATTTTACAGTTCCGACCCAACGACTTCCGGTTTATGTCCGAAAAATTTGTGATACCTGGTCAAGATGACGACGGTGATGAAAGAATGAAAACCCCTCTTGACATAGCTGCTGAATATGACCACATCGAATGCGTACGCACAGTCCTGAACATGTGTGTAATCAAAACATATCCTGAAGCTGCCTCCAAAGACGATGTGAGTCTCGCTTGTCTTGCAAACTCTCCATTGTCATTGGAACTTGTCCTAAAACAAAACCCATCTGAGACGGACATCAAGTCTGGCATAGAGGTTTCCCTACAATACGCCAGGCCCGAATGCCTTGATATTCTATTGAAGCAGGACATGCCGACCTCGTCTCTCTTCAAAAAGATGAACTTTTACCACGTCCTCTATACCTACAGTCGGACTTTCTCCAAAGGGGGACATTCGCTCCTTCCAAAGATGACATCCGTTCTCATCAATCACGGACACTCTGTAAAAGTATGCCGGCCTCCAAGAACGTATCCTTTGTACAGCTTGTTGAGCAACGCCTTCTGTATCCAAGACAACGACAACACCCAGCACTACATCCAATGCATGAAGCTCCTGCTTCGTAAGGGATCTGACCCGTGCTTTGACGAGGTCAAGGACGAAGCGGGTCAAGTCAAACGTGGGGTCAAACCGATCGCCGGGAGACTCGCCTTCTCGTCAGCTCTACACTGTTTGTTAGAGACAGTTGAGGTCTTCGCTTCGGTTTTGGAGTCACGCACCCTCGCTGTCAAGTTTGTGGAGGAATGTGCAGACATTCTGGGTCAGTACCGCGCCCATGCTAACCAGATCGGGAGATTAGGCGGAAACAAAAGCAGTTTACGGGGAACGGTTCTTCATCAATATGCTAAATGCAGTGTTGTAATCGGAGTTGACGAGGCTATGATGAAATGCATGCTCCGCCATGGAGCTGACCCCAACGAAAAGGTCAGTGGGAAATACGCAGTGAACAGCTACCTTGACATGCTGTTTGAGAAACTGGCTACGTGCCAAGTGGTAGACACGCAACATAAATACAAAAAGGAGGTGGATACAATGCTGAACATTTGTACATACATGTCAGCCACGTCAGTCAGAGAGACTGCAAAGATATTCAAAAACGAACATTCGCGTAATTTATCCCAGCAGGTGAAACCGTACGTCAAATACGTTAGGGAGGAGCTAGACATGAGATGTCACGTGATACGATCACTGCGCCGCCTAGCGGCGTGGAAGGTGTGGCAACTCTGTGGTATGAAAGGTTCAGCAGTCCACACCTTGCCTGTATCGGTTAAGATCAAAACCGACATTCTGCCAATAGTATGATTTCACTGAACCTGTCGGTTCCCCAGTATTGGGGACGCCAAAGGGAACTGAGAACCACAGTGTATTTTCCAAACTTGGTTACATTTCGGAAACACATGAAAGTATTTTCATAACAGTGTACGATATTCCAATCATATTCTGTCGTGATAGCCATCCGACCCTTGGCATCCATAAGACATCTGACATGCAGACCCACGACAGTTATACACTGCATTTGGTTTGGTGCGTTCTCAATTCGTCAGATCCGTGAATATCGCGGTTAGAATTGGTCTTCAGTAACCCATGCTTGTCGTAAGAGGCGACTAACGGGATCGGGTGGTCAGACTCGCTGACTTGGTTGACACATGTCATCGGTTCCCAATTGCGCAGATCGATGCTCATGCTGTTGATCACTGGATTGTCTGGTCCAGACTCGATTATTTACAGACCCCCGCCATATAGTTTGAATATTGCTGAGTGCGGCGTAAAACTAAACTCACTCACTCACTCACAATTCGTCAACCAATCAGATTCAAGGTTATTGTATTTGTATACCTTTAGCAACACAGAGCTTAGTCTGCTTGTCACAGAAACACTTTGCTGATGAAGTTTGTATTGGTTTAACGTCAATGAAATATCCAAAATGGGTTAAATCACCATAAAAGGTATTGTCTTGGTCATGATGGCATTGTGGTGTGGTGTATCACAGTCAGATTGGAGTTGGTTCTGATTATACCGGTGTGTTGGACTGTTGGTGACGAAAACTTTCTTAAAGTGTTAAGCTATAGCATGACAAAACATAATATATTTATATGAATATAATTTTGTGCGTCAGTGAAAACAACGCTGATTCTAAAGTGGGAAATATTTTTGTTTGCTAAATTTATTGTATATATAAAGGATGTAAAGTAGTAGAAAGAACATGAATTGTCATGTTTATTCACCTTGCCTCACACATAAATGTCGTTTTCTGATTGGCTGAGCGCTCTTCTATTATTTTCAATGTACCCCGCTTACAAGCGAGTAACATTTTCTATGTACCCAGCTGGGAATGCCGAACTCATTTGGTACTTTGTAGTAGTAATTCTTTATCTCGAATAACATTGAATCACGTATGATGTACGGAAATTACCGATGTTTTGCGAATTCCAAGAAGATTCGTTACCACGCTACAGATGTTTAAGTGTACCATCCCCCAGCTGAAAGCTGTTCTTATGTCAATTCATCAATAGTATTATTATATTTACTTTTAACATGAACACAATGCGCTGATACCCCTGTGCCTGTGGTTGTGTATATATTGGGTCGTGTTGACTAACGATCGATGTATCAATATCAATGTCTTTTTCATTCTCTGATAATATATGATAGTGTAAGAAAGAAAGAAAGTTTTCTTGTTAATTTACACCTGCCCTCTTCCTGCAGCCTTCATCCCAGAGACCGCCTCCGTGGTGTAGTGGTTAGAGCGTCCGCCCGGAGAGCGGAAGGTTGCGGGTTCGATCCCCGGCCGCGTCATACCAAAAGACGTTAAAACATGGTACTTGTTGGTCCCTGCCTGGCGCTCGGCATTAATGGGTACAACAAGTATAATGTGTCTGAGTGGTTTTCATGCTCAATTGCGCATGGTATCTCAGTGGGCTAGCACTATAAAACCAGCCTAAGTCTGGGCTAGTACAAGCAGCCACACATACCCACGCATGCACGTCATATGAGCGAAACATTCTTAAGTGCGACGTTAACCCCATTTCTCCTCACCTCACCTCAGCCCAAATAAAGCGGAATCAAAGGTATAGATGTGTAGACATGAACCAAACTAGATTGTTTTTCATTGTAATTTATTTATTGTAAACAGACCAACCGACCCAACTTTAGATCACGGTGGCTACATGCAACACATACAAACATACAGCCCTTCAACACAATATCTGTCTTCTCAGTTTCCGAAAGAGCACCCCGAAAATATTATATTCCCACCAATCAATTTTGTTTTCGGGGGTTACCAGATCGTTGAGGTTTTACCTCGTGTTTCCTGTCTGCGGTGAACCTGTGTTGGTTTTCATTTCTCATAAATATTGTTTGCATACAGATAGATGTTTTTTAGTCTACACAATTATATCTGAATCCAGATCACAAAAGAGCTTAAACAAAGGAAACGTGATACCCAATAACACTCCAAAACCTACTCTGCAGCTACGTCTGAAAATTACGCTCGAGAAGTAAAAACGACATGGACATATCAGTTTCAACATTGCATGCACAAAGTATTGACAAGCGGTAAGTGATAATTTACCTGCTTCGCTTTCTATGGTTTTTACACAACTGCTCAAACAAATGTCCCATCAATCACGACCAATGCAGTAATTTCGAACCATGATCGAGAAAACGTTAAAGGTAGATATTGAGCGCGCAATAGAGGTTCTGCTTTATTCTTAAACGAAGCTAACACTATTGAGCTATCATAAACGTCATGGGTAGGTTTTGTCGTTAGCAGTTGTTTTGCGAGAAACGTAGAATCAAAATGTCACATACAAACTGAATGGCAAGAGATATGTTTCATTATGACGGTGAAACAATAAACGGTCAAACCATGGCGATGTGTTTGATTCGAGTGACGATAGGCTCCATCACATCAAATGAGTACCTCACAACAGCAGCACGGTGTCGCTACTCCACAGTTCACATTAACGAGCTGAGTAAAAATGTTTTAAGTGTATACTTGACCGACAGCAGAGTTGTGGACCTCTCCTCCATTCTCGTTGTGAGTGAGATATGCATGCGGGCCATCATATCTGATTTCATTATTTGTAAATGTACTGTAACGGCAGTTCCGAATGTAAACAATATAGGCACACCATCAGATTCTATTTTACTGATATTGTACACAACGCCGATTCAGCGATATACATCATCTATAGGCATACCATGAAGTTTGTACCATCTCCTTTTCTGCAGGAGTTTTGGTTTGCACAGGTCGATATTTCCGAATAATAGAGACATACATTTCTATTATTTAGACTAGCAATTCAGATTTCTGTCAGATTTGGACACAAGAATATCGTATACACGTATATGTTCTTAATTGGCATGCTCTTTAAAAGGTGGAATTTTCCGACACAGATGGTTCCAGTGTATTTCCAGTTAACCCTCCAAACTTCACACATCGATAGGGGTAGCCTAATGGTTAAAGCGTTCGCTCGTCACGAAGAAGACCAGGGTTCGATTCCCCACATGGGTACAATGTGTGAGGCCAGTTACTGGTGTTCCCCGCCGTGATGTTGCTGAAATATTGCTAAAAGCGGCGCAAAATCATACTCACTCACTCACTCAGCCAGTCCTGTATTTTTAAAACCTTTTTAGAACACTTCTTATAATAGTGTTTGAATTAATTCATTGTATTGAACGTGTCACTTGGCTCCGGAAACAGTTGGGTTTATTTAAATAATAGTTGTAGATCGATGCTCATGCAGTTGATCACTTGATTGTCCGGTCCAGACTCGATTATTTACAGATCGCCGCTATATATAGCTGGAATATTGCTGAGTGCGGAGTCAAACAACAAACAAAATGTAGATGAAAACGATTGCGGGTAACCTGGCTTTGCATGTACCTTTATGACCTTTGTGAGATTGCAAGGGTTAGAGATATTTTTTCCTTTTCAAAGCGGCGGAGAAAATTGAAATAAGAAAACCTTTTCTATTTCACGTTTGAATGAAATTCAGGGCGGGTAGTGCAGGGGGAATGACAGACAGACTAAACACCAATGCTCAATTATGTTGACTGTACTAGACGCGTAGGTCAAGGGGTGACAATAATATGGGTATAGCTCTATATACTAAACAATGAACATTCTGCTTTTGAATTGTGTATGAGAACAAAAGATGAGAAAAGAAGTTTCATTTCAACTGCACTTGATATGAGGTACGTCTGTCGTCTTTTGTCCCGCTTGACAATGCTAGAATGACATATGAACATGTAGATATTGGTTTCTTTTGTCAAAGACATAATTAATAAGGATTCCATATTTGTGGACTATTTGGTCCGATTCCTGAAATAATTTTGCATTATGCTTTTCAAACCCGTGTAAATTCCATCTCGCTAGAGCAGACTTATCAAAGAAAACTTTCCCACTGTGAAGAAAAACGCAGAAACGTCCACATTAATCGTGGAAATAGCAACATAAACATATTACCTCGCTACTGAGTGAGTGAGTGAGTTTAGTTTTACGCCGCACTCAGCAATATTCCAGCTATATGGCGGCGGTCTGTAAATAATCGAGTCAGGACCAGACAATCCAGTGATCAACAGCATGAGCTCGAACACTCTGAACCCCCCATTGGCTCCGCCAACGCAAAAAAAACCTTCAATGTGGCCTTATGTCATTTTCAAAGGGGGGGGATCCGCCAATGACATGTGTCAATCAAGTCAGCGAGCCTGCCAACCCGATCCCGTTAGTCGCCTCTTACGACAAGCATGGGTTACTGAAATCTATTCTAACCCGGATCTTCACGGGTAACCTCGCTACTGGAACACTAGAGGCTACTGAATGAAGGACGATCGGCGACTCGGTAGTCATCGGATTACTATCCCGTGGATCAGAGATCATTATGTCAACCGCTCTGTTATCTGATCCAGGGTCAGCGGGGTAGCCTAATGGTTAAATGGTTTTCTCGTCACTCTGAAAACCTGGATTCGATTCCCCACATGAGCACAATGTGTGAAGCCCATTTTTGTCGCCCGCCGTTATATTGTCGGAATATTGCATAAAGCGGCGTAAAACCATACTCACTCATACTCACTATCACTTGAAACACTGCAGCCATTTGACTCTGGGGCGGTGGGGTAGCCTAGTGATTAAAGCGTTCGCCCGTCACGCTGAAAACCCGGATTCGATTCCCTACATGAGTACAATGTGTGAAGTCCATTTCTGGTGTCCCCCGCCGTGGTATTGCTTGAATATTGCTAAAAGCGGCGTAAAAGCATACTTTTATCTGATCAAGGCTTTTGCACATAGCCTTCATATAGCTGGGTCATTTCTGAGTGCGGCATTAAACAACACATAAACTACTGTACCACTGCTACTGCTGTTTCTGCTGCTGCTGCTGCTGCTGCTGTTGTTGTCGTTGTTGTTTCTGTTTCCCTTTCACCTATTTAATTGTAAAAAATAGCAGTGGCCATTGCTTGTCGCACAGCTGACTTATATCCCGGATTGGTTAAAAGGGATAACTGTGTCTTCATATAAAGTAGTCCATCAGTGGGTCCACAACACTTTATTCGTGATTCAGTGTGTACGAGGGACAGTCAAAAAGTAGTGAGCCTGACCTAGTAAATGATACAAATGCAG